TTATCTCTTCTACCCACCTTCCTTTTTATCTTCCCCCTACCCCCCCTGAAACCCCAATTCCCCATGCCCATTTGCTCACTTATCTCCTTCTTACCCCTAGTTCCCCCTCCCTTACCCCTACTCACGCGCATCTTACCTATTCCCCAACTTCACCCAAACCTCCCTCCCTCCCCAGAATTTAAATACAGATTGTATACTCATTATTCATATTCACTCCATGTTCTGCAAATGTTCATTGCATGTTCTCTGTACAAATTTTATATTCACTACTCATGTTGTCTGTACGTTCAAATCATATTTTTCATCTGTTTCTACATGTTCTTTGTCATATTCATGTTCTCTGGAAGTTCATATTCCCTGCATGTTCGCTGTGTTCATCACCTTCTCTTACATGTTTTTCTGTGATCTTTGTCATATTCTCCACGTTTTCAGAATGTTTTTCATAAGTTCATTGTTCACTCTTTGTATTCACTATGTTCTTTATCATATTTTCATGTTCTTTGTAAGTTCATATTCCCCACATGTTCACTGTGTTCATCACCTCTTACATGTTTTCTGTGTTCTTTTTCATATTCCCCGAATGTTTACTGCGTTCAACTGCGTTCAACGTATCATAGCTTATGTACCCTTAGCTACCTAACCTCCCTTACCTAATCTTTAATTAGCTTTATTCTCTTATACATTTCACTCCTTATCCCAATCTCTTCTGATCTTAGTGTATGCATTGTGTTGGATATAATTTGTTCTAATTCTTTGACCTTAACCTAACCTTTCAGATATAGTTTATTTGTTTATGGTGTTTTGATGTATTTATTGAATATATTAGATATATTAGATATGAACCAAACCTGTCAGATATAGTTTTGTTTATCCTGCTTGTATATTTTTACCCAAATTCTCCATCCCACTTAACCTTCCTTCTTTTACTTCTATTAGTTAATCAGTTAATCATATTTAATCAGTTAATTAATAGTCAGTTAATCCTGACTATTTTTAGTTGATTCACGAATAATTTTAGTTACAAAATGACAAGAAAAGTTTATCTGGGTAAATTTGTATTGAACGTTAAGAAAAGAATGTCTTGGTACATTTGATTTTAAAGAACATGAAAGAGAATGCAATGAATGCAGTGAACATTCGGGGAACATGAGAAGGAACACAGAAAAATGTAAGAGAAGGTGATGAACACAGTGAACATGTGTGGGAATTTGAACTTACAGAGAACTTGAAAAATCGATAAAGAACATAGAGAATACAATGAGTGAACAATGAACTTATGAAGAACATTCTGAAAATATGGAGAATATGACAAAGATTGCAGAAAACTTTTAAGAGAAGGTGATGAACACAGAGAACATGCGGGGAATAGAGAACAGAGAACATGAATATGACAAAGAACATGGAGATAATGTAAAAACCAGGTGAAAAATATGATTTGAACGTGCAGACAACATGAATAGTGAGTAAAAAAGTTGTTACGAGAACATGCGGTAAACATTTGCAGAACATGGAGTGAACATGAATAATGAGTATTCAAGCTATATCTCTTTAAATTCTGGGGAGGGATAGAGGTTTAGGTGAAGTTGGGGAATAGGTAAGATGCGCATGAGTAGGGGGGTAAGGGAGAGGGGAAAGATAAGGGGTGATGGAGATAAGAGAGAGGATGGGGGTGAGGGAATGGAGGAGAGGGGGAGGGAATGGAAGGAGTAAAGTGTGGAGGGGGATATATGAGGGGCAAGGGGGTGGGGGGGAGGGGGAGCAAGGGGTAAGAGCGAATGAGTGCAGGGGATTGGGGGTTTAGGGGGGGGGGGAGATAAGGAGGAAGAAGTAGGATGTGATATGATCGTGTGATTTTTATTATCCTGTGAATGACTATTTACATAGCTGAGTAAACAAAGGGTATTGAAGGTAAGGTGCAATATGAATGTGTGATTTTTATTGCCATGCAAACAAGTATATTGAAGGAGAGGATATATTTATTTTGATAAAGCGGATAGATTGGAGAGCGTCATGGTCTGAAATAATTAAATTTGATGAACTAAGGCAGAGGACAAGAGCTGAAGCATGGTTACTGACATGATCTTATTTTTTTATGTTGGAAATATAATAGTCTTAAATTTCAGGGGGATTTGGTCAGATAATAATTTATTTACAGGAGTGAACTAAGGCAGGGAACATGAGCTAGAGTTCGGCAACTCTATTTTCTTTACTTTCTCAGTTAAAAATATATCTGCTATAAATTTTGAGAAAATTGGCCAGGTACTAAAGAATATACATGAAGGAACTAAGGTGGGGGACGGGAGCTAGAACTCGGTAACTGACTTGATCTTATTTACTGTGTTTGAAATACAGTGTGTTTAAATTTTAGGGAAATTGTTCAGGTATTAACGAAGATACGCGAGGGGGTTAAGGCGGGGACAGGAGCTAGAGTTTGATATACTGCTTTGATCTATTTATTATGTACTAAATATGATGGTTTTAAATTTCAGGGGAATTAGACTGTTAGTAAAGAGTTTATGGGGATAAAGTAAGGCGGGGGAAAGGAGCTAGACATTGCTTACTGATTTGATTTGATTTACTACGTCTGAAATATGACTGTATAAAATTAGGCTAAAATTGGCTTATTAGTAGCAAAACTATACTTATAAACGTGGTAAACTTACCTACTAATGCAGTATACTTATAAACTTGGTCGTATTGCTCTGTCAAATTTCGGTCTTTAACTGGTCTCTGTCAAATTTCTGTCTTCTACTGGACTCTGATGAAAATCGGTCTTCAACTGGACTCTGTCAAATTTTGGTCTAAAAAAGGTCTCTGTCACATTCCGGTCAATTTCGGTCTTCAAATGGTCTCTGAATAATTTTCGGTCTTTTACAGGCGAAATAGCTAAAACTGGATACAAGACTTATTGCTAAGATGTCTATTTTCCTTAGCAAAACTTCTATGACAATATTCTCTGAAAATGGTCTTTTGAAATTTTTTGTTTTTACACTCTTAAATAAACTTCTATAATCATATGAACTCTGAAATATTTTCCTAAACCAAACTCTGAACAAAATTTGAATTTCCTCCATAAGAAACCTTTAACACCAAATGAGTCAATTTTGCCTCGAATTTCCCCCATAAGAAACCTTTAAGAACTTAACGGGAAATAGGAAATTTTACCTTGCACCCCTGAAGCTTTTGCAACAATTAGGAAATTTACCTGAAAATTCTGAAGCCTTAGTGAAGAATGGTTCAAAAAGTTCTATTCCTCACTGAGGCTTCATCCCTACTACTAGTGGCGAGTGCAGTAATTGCCAAGAGTGTTCACAAAGTGTTCAGTTAGTTTACTTTTGTTCATGTGTTCATGATCTGTCCAGTGGGTCGAGGCGTTTATGTCTATGACACCTGTGAGAGTGCTGGGAACGGATTCCTGCTGCACGGTTGTGTTTTAACAGTAGTTGAGGTGACATTCTTGAGTAACGTAAAGTGGGTCACTGTGTATTATTAAGTAAGTTGTTGAATAAATTAATTTATTTTGTTACACGTGCTTTTGATGTTATTCCTCATTCTGCAGTACTGTCCCCATATAACATCACTTGCTACTTGATATTGTCATTGATTTGAGTTGGCTCGGGATCCAGCCCAGAGCCTTAAGCACTGAATGAATTCGGTGTGAGAACCCATCCGCTACCTGTAAGATTTTTTTGCAAGCAAGTTGCAGAGAGAACGACCTAAGTGTGGAAGGTCCGGTTTTGCTTGTGGAATTTAAAACCGTTCTGGCCTTCATCTCTACCTAAAATACTTAGACCTTTGGCATATTGCTCTCGCCTCAGGAATGTATTCAATTGTTTATCGAAGGTAAACAATCGAATTCACATCCCAATAACCAGAAATCTCACATGTGGTGTCCAGCGCAGTGCTAGACTTGTGTGAGAAAATTGGTTATTTCACATCTGGTGCCCAAAGTGGGGCTAAGAAATGTATAGGGAAAAAGGATATTTTCACATCTAGTCTCTTAGTTATTTACTGTAATTTTGTTCGTATTTGACTATGTTTATTGAGACAAGAAAAAATACATCTCAAAGGGATAAAGTAGCTTCGATCGAGCATGAGCTTTAGAACCCCCGCCTTTCTAGCAGCCAGATTGCCTATTGCAATGATTTCAGGCCTATTTCTCTATCAATCTACTTTTTAAATTATGAATTGAGCTTGCTTCTACAACCTGCTCTTGTAGATCATTCTATTTTCAGATTAATCACAGGATAATCCCTTGGTCTAAGTCTGGTACACACAGGATAATCCCCTGGTCTAAGTCTGGTACACACAGGATAATCCCCTGGTCTAAGTCTGGTACACACAGGATAATCCCCTTGGTCTAAGTCTGGTACACACAGGATAATCCCCTTGGCCTAAGTCTGGTACACACAGGATAATCCCCTTGGTCTAAGTCTGGTACACACAGGATAATCCCCTTGGTCTAAGTCTGGTACACACAGGATAATCCCCTTGGTCTAAGTCTGGTACAGACAGGATAATCCCCTTGGTCTAAGTCTTTTACACACAGGATAATCCCCTTGGTCTAAGTCTGGTACACACAGGATAATCCCCTTGGTCTAAGTCTGGTACACACAGGATAATCCCCTTGGTCTAAGTCTGGTACACACAGGATAATCCCCTTGGTCTAAGTCTGGTACACACAGGATAATCCCCTTGGCCTAAGTCTGGTACACACAGGATAATCCCCTTGGTCTAAGTCTGGTACACACAGGATAATCCCCTTGGTCTTAATCTGGTTCACACAGAATAATCCCCTTATCTAAGACAGGTACACAGGATAATCCCCTGGTGTAAGACAGTCTACAAGGCTTTAAAATAGCACCATGGTTCATGAATATCACCCATGTTTAGAGTTCAGTATTTCTGAGAGACGTCCTCACCCTCCCCCTTCCCTGTTAACTAGCGCAGAAGTGTGTGCTCAATAGCAGGACCCAGGACGGTGAGACAGAGTGTGGCACCTTGATGTAGGAGACGGGCGGGAGGGACTTCTGGGAGTTGGCGTGTTGGGTTGACAGCGTGAGGAGAGAGGTGACACCCAGCGTCACTCTGGCCGGCACCGCCTCCGGTCGGATCCAGAAGCTGATCCAGGACATGATGACGATGAGGCAGGTGGGGATGTAGGTGTGGAAGAGGTAGTAGCCCAGACGACGCTTGAAGGTGAACACGATCTCCAGACACGTGAAGTTACCTGTGGGGGAGGGAGAGTGGTTGTGGTTACCTGTGGGGGAGGGAGAGTGGTTGTGGTTACCTGTGGGGGAGGGAGAGTGGTTGTGGTTACCTGTGGGGGAGGGAGAGTGGTTGTGGTTACCTGTGGGAGAGGGAGAGTGGTTGTGGTTACCTGTGGGGGAGGGAGAGTGGTTGTGGTTACCTGTGGGGGAGGGAGAGTGGTTGTGGTTACCTGTGGGGGAGGGAGAGTGGTTGTAGTTACCTGTGGGGGAGGGAGAGTGGTTGTAGTTACCTGTGGGAAAGGGAGAGTGGTTGTGGTTACCTGTGGGAGAGGGAGAGTGGTTGTAGTTACCTGTGGGGGAGGGAGAGTGGTTGTGGTTACCTGTGGGAGAGGGAGAGTGGTTGTAGTTACCTGTGGGGGAGGGAGAGTGGTTGTGGTTACCTGTGGGAGAGGGAGAGTGGTTGTAGTTACCTGTGGGAGAGGGAGAGTGGTTGTGGTTACCTGTGGGGGAGGGAGAGTGGTTGTGGTTACCTGTGGGAGAGGGAGAGTGATTGTGGTTACCTGTGGGAGAGGGAGAGTGGTTGTGGTTACCTGTGGGAGAGGGAGAGTGGTTGTAGTTACCTGTGGGAGCGGGAGAGTGGTTGTGGTTACCTGTGGGAGAGGGAGAGTGGTTGTGGTTTTTCAGATTCAGATTCCCGAGATAATCCAAACTACTGTTGAGTTGTTGAGTAGATCCGAAGGAATTATTGCTTCCCTGGGCGTCGAATCCCTATTTACCAACGTCCCGGTCGACACAACCATAGGAATGATACTGGACACAGTATACAGAGACGAGAGCACCCCCAAATTAGACCTACCCGAGCCACACTTGAAGAGTCTTCTCGAGGCATGTACAGAGGACGCCCCTTTCATCAGTCGGCAAGGGGACATGTATTTACAGATAGACGTTGTCACGTGCCACAAATGTCCGGTCATGGTGGCACGTGACTATGTTGGTCATGGTGGCACGTGACATTGTTGGTCATGGTAGCACGTGACAGTGTTGGTCATGGTAGCACGTGACAGTGTTGGTCATGGTAGCTATATCACCTTCTAAAAGCCATCACCCAACCTAACTACACAAATCGCCTCTCAACAGCCGCAGCAGCAACAACAACATGGTCAGTAAAGAAAATTTCCCATTCAGGAAAGGCGTCCAGCGTGGAGGTGATGAGGAGGTTATCTCCGTGAAGCCGGGCTTATCTTCTGCCGCCCGACCCAGCCAGCATACACGGTGAGGACCAGGGGCGCGGGGGTCAGTGGCCAGCACCTCCTCCCTCTCCTCGGGTCCTTACCCGCCTCTCTCCTCCCTCACTCCTGGCCTCCCTCCAGTGTGCAGTCCAGGAGCCTGCTCTTGGGTTCTCGACTCCCATTGTCTCTCACTCTCTCTCTCCAGAGAGACTAAGAGAGAGAGAGAGAGAGAGAGAGAGAGAGAGAGAGAGAGAGAGAGAGAGAGAGAGAGAGAGAGAGAGAGAGAGAGAGAGAGAGAGAGAGAGAGAGAGAGAGGCGTGAACGAAACAAAACATAAATAAACAAAAATGATGATAAGCAAACAAAACAAGAACAGTGTTGGATGACGGAAGGCCTCGTCTTGACAAAGAAACACAGCCACAAAGTAAAATACACTTTAATGATGTTTATGAGACTGAACTGTCCTGCCACCACTACCACCATCACCACATGTCCTGCCACCACTGCCACCATCACCACATGTCCTGCCACCACTGCCACCATCACCACATGTCCTGCCACCACTACCACCATCACCACATGTCCTGCCACCACTACCACCATCACCACATGTCCTGCCACCACTACCACATGTCCTGCCACCACTACCACATGGCCTGCCACCACTACCACCATCACCACATGTCCTGCCACCACTACCACATGTCCTGCCACCACTACCACATGTCCTGCCACCACTACCACATGGCCTGCCACCACTACCACCATCACCACATGTCCTGCCACCACTACCACCATCACCACATGGCCTGCCACCACTACCACATGTCCTGCCACCACTACCACATGGCCTGCCACCACTACCACCATCACATGTCATGCCACCACTACCACCATCACTACATGTCCTGCCACCACTACCACCATCATCACATGACCTGCCACCACTGCCACCATCACCACATGGCCTGTCACCACTGCCACCATCACCACATGTCCTGCCACCACTACCACCATCACCACATGGCCTGTCACCACTGCCACCATCACCACATGTCCTGCCACCACTACCACCATCACCACATGGTCTGCCACCACTATCACCACATGTCCTGCCACCACTATCACCACATGTCCTGTCACCACTACCACCATCATCACATGTCCTGCCACCACTATCACCACATGGCCTGTCACCACTACCACCATCACCACATGGCCTGTCACCACTACCACCATCACCACATGGCCTGTCACCACTACCACCATCACCACATGGCCTGTCACCACTACCACCACCACCACATGGCCTGTCACCACTACCACCATCACCACATGGCCTTTCACAACTACCACCATCACCACATGGCCTTTCACCACTACCACCATCACCACATGGCCTTTCACCACTACCACCATCACCACATGGCCTTTCACCACTACCACCATCATCACATGGCCTGTCACCACTACCACCATCACCACATGGCCTTTCACCACTACCACCATCACCACATGGCCTTTCACCACTACCACCATCACCACATGGCCTTTCACCACTACCACCATCACCACATGGCCTGTCACCACTACCACCATCACCACATGGCCTTTCACCACTACCACCATCACCACATGGCCTTTCACCACTACCACCATCATCACTTGGTCTCCACAATTTTGGAGAACTGATTTTTCAATTACCATCGACAGTAAAAAGAAAATAAGAAATATTGAGAAAATTCGTGTTAGAATTATTAATCTTACTTTTTCGGTCATATGTAACAACATATGTTTACAAGAAAGGCTGCTACCAAAATATACTAATATTAAAACGCACGACCCAGCAGCAAGAAATCAAGCCTTCACGATAAAATATCGCCAAGATCTGATTCGTAATCAGATACATATGGCAGAAAATGAAATCAAAGACAACAAAACGCAACTACGTAACGCTACAAACCAATGGAGAAACAGCAACATCGACGAAAACCTCCGTACTCGTATCGAGCAACACCTCGACATCCTCACAGATCGACACCACCACAGCACCGAAACCAGGATAATCAAGAAACTAACAACATTATATGGAGGACCTATGGCGATTGCACGACCAAGAGATGGCTTCCTGAACCTTGCTGGAATCAACCTCACTGAGGACCAAGTCACTCTCCCAAATCTGGGTATAAACTGTCACGTTATGTCCAGACCAAGTGAGATGGCTCGGAAAGTGGAGTTGGAGATCCTGTTGGACGACATATTCGACCTCGAGACACAAAGGAAAGTCACCTCCAAAGACACCTTACAAGCAGAACTTATTGCAGAAGGAGGAAAGATTCGAGGCAACTACAGAAGCACCATACTGTCCCCCGAGCTCAAAGCGGCAGCTAAGAGCCTTCGTGAGAACAAGGAGATAGTCGTCAGGAGAGGTGACAAGTCGCCAATATATGTCATTTTTAAAAAAGACGAATATCTGGCGAAAATGAACCTCATTCTCTCTGGCCAAACTAAATTCCAAAGGGTAACGAAGGACACTACAGCCGAATTGAAAGCAACGGTCAACAGACTGATCGAAACCGTGAACGCCAAGAAATCCGGACTCCACCTGCCAAAGATTATTGGGAATACAAACCTGGGTATGCGTATGGAAATGTCAAGACACGCAAGCCTGGAAACCCACTTCGGCCAATCATCAGCCAGATACCCACACCCACGTACAGACTGGCGAAGCGACTCAATGGCTTGCTGACTCCTTATGTACCTTGTGCTTTCAGCCTGAAGTCTCCAAAGGAATTTGTTGACTTACTGCGGGGAACACGGGCCACAGGGATAAGAGCCTCGTTGGACGTAGAATCACTGTTTACCAACGTACCTGTGGATGAAACAATTAGGATGACAGCGGACAGAGTGTATCGTGATCCGGTCTGTACTCCTCTTGACATACCAGAAAACATTCTGAAGGAAACTACTCCAAGCTTGTACTAAAGAGGCACCCTTCTTGAGCCCTGATGGGCATATATATAAGCAAGTAGCTGGGGTCGCCATGGGTTCTCCCCTAGGCGTCCTGTTTGAAAACTTCTATATTGGTACCATCGAACAGACGGTTTTATTTGACATGAACTTGAAACCTGCCAATAATGCAGGTATGTTGACGACATTTTTACCCAGGTACCTGATGTCACACGTCTGCAGGAGCTGAAGGAGGCATTCGAGCAGAATTCTGTGTTGATTTTCACTTATGAGATGGAGAAGGATGGGAAGCTGCCCTTTCTAGACGTAACAGTCATGGAAAGGAGCGGAGGTGTTCACACTGCTAAGGAAACAAACATAGCAATGTGCCTCAATGCCAACAGTGACTGCCCAGACAGGTACAAGAGGAGTGTTGTCAACGCTTATGTCGACCGTGCTCTCAGCACGGTCGACGTAAGAATGAGGTGATTTGATAAAATACCATGCCCATGATTACCAACCGAGTGCCGGCGGAGGGATGGAAATAGCCTCGGCTACCATCCTCTTTTGTCCAGTCATGTTGGTCGAGCGGTTAAGGGATCCTGTACTCTAGCAGAGTGCTCCTGGCAGTATGGGTTCGAGTCACTTCTGGGGTGTGAGTTTTCAGTTGCATATAGTCCTGGGGACCATTCAGGCTTGTTCGCATTTGTATTCCTCATGTGTGCCCCAAAGAATGAGGTGATTTGATAAAATACCATGCCCAAGATTACCAACCGAGTGCCGGCGGGGGGATAGAAATAGCCTCGGCTACCATCCTCTTTTGTCCGGTCGTGTTGGTAGAG